AGATCATGCTTGACAGCGAAACTGCTAACACAGGCTTGGACCATGGATTAAGTATTTTTCAAATGTTCAGTATTTTATTGCTCAATATTTGTCTTAGTTTTTTCCATCCTTACTCATATTCCATGTAGTTTCACGTTTGCCTGCATCACATCTGTTGTGAAATCATCAGTTTACTGGTGGGAAGTGTGGCAGCTTTGTCATATCCTGAGTTATTAATGAGCATAAGTTTATTTCTGACACCTTATAATCTATTCCTCAAACAATGTTTTACATCTTTCAGACGTAATGGAGTGTTGTTACCAGGATATCTCTTAAATAGGTTCAAATGAATTGTTGCTTGTCTGCAATTACTATCTTTCAACTAACATCCCTTTCACTTGTCTATTCTAATCTGCCCTTATTTTTATTAAATTACTTTTTCAGTTGTAGCTATTCAAAAGGAGATTTGCTGAGTGAGTATACTTCAGTAAGAAGTTATACGCTTACGTTTCTCTTTATTTGTTTAGTGTTACGGAGCACCATCTTGGAAAACAATATACATAAAGTAATCAGGTTAGATATATCTAGTTTCTACGGTAGCTGACTAAATTCAGTTAAAAATTATGATTGAATGTTCGAAGTTTACTGCAGTTAGGATGGTAAATCACCAATACTACTCATAACGTTTCTCCCCTATTGCATAAAAATGAAGTATTCGCAAAGTAATTATTGTGCAGCTTTTGCACAAAGCAATGATTTACTAAAGTTAAAAACTAATCAGTTTCTCTGCCTTCAAGTTGTGAATAATGGAAGAAAGAATGAAGAAATTGTTCAATCTTAACAAAATGTCATGAATCAGTTCACAGTGGCTAATTTTCCATATATTCAAAATTTTTACACACATGAACAGCATAACGTCTATGCTACATATCCTTCATAACGTCTTTTAGGTGTTAGGGTGATGGGCATTTACGATATCTTCGGAACAGTTGGAATAAAAATCAAGTGTAAATCATAGTAGAAACCAGCAGGTGGGAAAAAAGCCTCGCTAGTTAGATTTTAAAAACTATAGAGGTTAGGCTTCCCCAAAACAGTGTAGTTGACCGTGTTCTTCATCTGTGTACGATCAATTTTTATGAAAGTGCCTCTTATGCCATGTTAGGCGTACTTTTCATTAAAAAATTGAGGGTATTTAAAAACGAAGTAAATAGTAGTATTATCTGTTGATGACTAGTAATAGCTGTCATAATCGTATTCACAAACCTTTTCTCAAGGCTATAGAAGTAATGTGAAGCTGTTAGTTATAAAAATAAATAACTTATAAACCGTTTCACTATTATTAAGGAAAATGCATAAAATCACAGTCTAATGAACGGTTTTTTCTTGTAATTTCGTCAATTCAGACAATCTTTTTAGATGACAAAATTTTAAGTTCCTTTTCAAAAATCAATGACTTATTCGTGAAAACATCTAACGTATATCACTAGCGTGGATTATATGCTTGATATTCGTTACTCTTATAAGAACACAATGTTTCCCATTTCTTACATTCATCTTTTTCAACGTAATTTATCAATCTTTATGTTGCTATGAAAACGAATATTTGTTTTGCAAAAGTTACCTTTTTTGCAACCTTATTGTATAACTCTACATGCTTTGCAGTAAGTCTGCATACATCCTCGATCTTTTTTACCAACTATTACGAATCCGTTTTGCGTGAACAATGTGAATGAGATGAAATTTCGATATGAACTATTAAAGGTTGCTGATATCCAGTAAATGACTAAATTTAAGCCTTATATATATCGAAAAAGGGGACTAGGAGACGTTGTTAGGTGAGGTTAAATAATTACAACAATCTACTGAATAGTTTGGCAGAATTTAAAAGGGATTGAGGAGAATACTGTTTGAACTTTGCTTATCGGGACAACACCCAAATATCTCGGTTTTTTTATATCAGGTGACATGCAAATTTCCATTTTCCAGGTGGATTTCATTTTCTTATTAGCAAAAAACTATTTTTTTTTCAACGATAACTAACGTATAGTTTTCAAAAGTTGTCATGAGCTAATTATTTATAAAGTGCTCCAGAAGAAATGCAATATGAGCCAAGAAAAAATGATTCCCAGCTGTCTCATCTGAAGGCATACGTAAATAGTCGGGTTACGTATGTGAACTTTTATCTTTTCTCCGTGCTTAGGAGAAAGTAAACAAGAAGCTCTGGACAAACTTTGTTCATGTTGGTATTCAACAGTAAAGATTATTTGCTAATTGGCTAAAATATAATAATTCTTAGGAATTTCATTCAGTGATGAGAAGTATGGCAGATACCGTTCTTTCTCTGTAAATGATTGGTTTGTGTACTATCATCATAGATCAACACAGTTTTACAAAATAAGTAAGTATAGGAAAAATGGCCAAGAATAGAAACCTGTAGAAGTGCAGAAGAGGAGATAAATCTTATTCTATTTTAAACAGCGTAATGAGAAGACGAAGATTATCTGAAACATGCGATGTATTAGCGCTACACATTTCGAACAATCTGATCACACATGGAAAATACATCGAAATGTATAGCGCTAGCACATCACATGTTTCAGATAATCTTCGTCTTCTCATTACGCTGTTTAAATTTATCAAAGGGACCAGTTGCTTTAAACTTATTCTATTTTATTACAACCTGAATTCCAGGTGACCCGGTTTATTTTCACATACAACTATCAGTAGCATAGCTTTTCATATTCATTCACTGTTGAATACTTCCATTTACCTGGTTTATGAAACTGAGTCCACAAATAGAGACAAGTAATTTTCAAACACTGATCATTAGTAAGTAGCTTTTAGAGTAATTAATAAACGTTTCAGTGAATGATCATCATACTGGTGATTAAAGAATACTTGCTTAGTATCAAGTTCTAAACTATTTGGAGACTCTGCGCCTTGATTTCACATTCATTGACACGTACTGATAGAAGATAATGACGCATTTTTGGTATTTGAAACCTTACAGGCATAAGCTGCTAATTAATTTCCATGTTAAATACTAAAAGATAAAACATCTAAGTATTTCTACTCTAGAGGTTTACGGGAATCGATTGATTTCAGTCCAGTATTTGTACAAAACTGACATCAGTTAGAGAATCTATTATGTGAAGAAATAGAAGACAACTCGACGAGAGAGTATGTATTACGAACAATTGGAATGGTAGTGGTTACACATAGTACTCCTTGCACTAACGCAGACATTTGCAAATGTCTTCGTTTTCTCTCCGTTCCCGTCTTGATTTACTCTTGACCGGCTCTTCATACACTCTTATCAGCAGCATCCCCTGTAATACGCCTGTGTTGTCCCCTGGGTTGCTCTTGGCAGAAACCTTACCCATTGCCGGTAATTCCCTATGATTTCTGCCACCCTCTCGATATATACTACTTATATCCGTTGTTATCAGCGACGCCCACTACACTAGAAAAGTTTTTCGTCCTAGTACGGGGATCTCCAGTAGCGCGTACTCTCAACTCCATGACGGATCAAACTCAGGGCCGTCCTGGGTTCCCATAAGAGACTTGTGTAGGTTAACCATTCGGCTGTGAGGACAAATACTGGCCAGTGGCATTTGATGATGGTCGCTGTATATAGGGAACCAACGGATGTAGAAAAATGTAGAGTATTGGATTCCGACCCTGTGGCCAGATATTATCATTTATTCCGTAAAACCTGGTCAAGCCCTTGAAAGGGTCGTGGGTTTGCACTGTTGAGCAGTTCCATACTAGGACCAAATAGCTGTCCAATTCACCCAGATTTTTAATAGTCCTCCAATTGATGTCAGTCTGTGATGAACATCTACTTGAAACCTAAGTATTTGTTGTCTGGCAACTTGAAATAATTCGTAAGGTATGCCAGACATCCTTCTGGAGGTTCATGAATCAAAACTAGGATTTTATAAAGCGAGATAATATCTTAATAGAGGGGAACTGTATTTACTTCTGAAGCGTATAAATGAACAATGTTTTGGTAGTTATAACCATTGAGCTTTTTTCAGTCATAAAGCCTAAAAAGGTTTGAGAAAACAGGTTGCTTTCATCTGAGTTAAAAAGGTAACGAATTCCTATACTGTCTATTAAACGACTAATTGTTTATGGTATTAAGCACTATATTTTATTAGATTTTCAGGTGATATGAGCCAGGCTAATGCAGATCTCAGACTGACTGGTTCGAAAATCATCATACTTGTATATTGGTATCCACGAAAGTTAAATGATTTCATTTTTACCACACCTGACACATTCTTTTGATTCTCTGCTTTTTTAAGGACAATGCTAGAACTTTTCTAAATTATTTTTGGTGACAATGAAAGTCAACTTTAGATTCATAATAAAAACAGTTTGGAATATCCCAGAAAACATTTCACAAATTTATCATCATAAATTCACAATCTTCAATATCAATGCAATGGTTTTGGCTACTTTGGAAAGTTCGGTAATATAAACAAAATAAGTTGAGATCATTTAAAATCCAGTTAGTAATGGCTTTCACTACCTCGTGATCGTGTGTTGCTGAAGGTATCACTGGAACCATTTACTTTACACCTCGCTTGCATATGTTCTAATGGTACAGAAAAACAATTTCAAAAGCCATTTTTACTTCGTCCTATTGTCTCAGTATCAAAGGTTTTACGGAGCGTAATGGAAAATTCATGATACATGTAAATTCTTCTCTGTAATCACGAGTATTACTATCTGCACAAAGCTACACATTTAGCGAATGAACCTTCAATATATACCGAAATAGTTAACTTTAGTGTAGTCGTTAATATAAACTGAAAGATAATTTTTGTCTATTACATTGTAAATCACGGTGACTCAGGGTAAAGTTGAAAACAAAGCCTGATTTATTCAGCACTCATTTGTTGGCCAAATTTTAAGATTGAACTTCTAACTATGGCTATTTCAAATATTTCAGATGATAATAATGCTTTTGAAAATTTGCACAGACCATTATATTCTCTGTAACTAACTTATAGATGGCCAACGATGATTTACTGCCGTTCGAGTCTAACAATTTCCTTGAGTTACCGGAACCAAAACTCTGCCGAGACAGTCAATTTATGCCAAGTAGTTCAGTGACATCAAAAGAGAAAAATAATCCCTTAGCTTGCTCACTGTTAAATTCACGTGATTTGATACATCAGATACAGTTGGCTTGCAGTATAGACATGGAGTTTACAAACCGAGGGATTGGTCTTAGCAGCTGTCATCATGAGGATAAAAATGGTTTACTAATTGATGAAGAAGTAGAGGGAGAAGTGAATGATAATGACGATGAAGATGAAGAAATAAGTGAAAATGAGAAGGCTGCTACTATTCAAGAAAAAGAAGAAATATCAACCCTATCCTTATTATCACCATCAATGTGTTGTCATTTGGAAAAAGATAGGGAATCAAAAACTGAAGTGGTGGAAATGAATATTCTGAAAACAAAGGATCATCTTAATAAGGCAGAATTCACTAACGATGATTTTATGATGAGGCACAGTCCAAAATCCTCCATAGATGACGATCTAATTAGTCCAGTGTTAAACTCAAGTGTTCGGAGTCAGAGAGTTACACCAATGCTAATTCAGCCCCTTTATGGAAATAATAATTTTTCAGTTAAAAAATCTACTACCCGGGTAAGTAGTTTTTAAAGTGTACAGATATATTAATGTTTCTAACCACTGTGGTAGCATTCTTTGAAGGGTATTTTATTCTGGAATTGCTGTTTAAATTTCAAATTAGCTTGCAAAAAAATATTTTTTTTTGCATAAGGAAACAGGCTTCAATTATTTCCTCATACTTTCAGACCTATTTTAATCTTCCTTTGTATGCTACTGATTGCATCTTCTATACTTAATCTAACTTTTAAGCCTTCTTTCTAAACGTCTTTTGCTCAAATCTATAAACTTCTTCTGCATATGTAATTCATCCCTGATGTGAAACGGGTTATTTTCTGTAAGTATCTATGTAGAATCAGCTGTCCTTGTCCATTCAAAATCGGTTTGTATATCGGTTGATGATCGTTTTTATTTGGCATAAATAGTGACTTTAGTACATTCTACGAACTACTAAAATGTTTTAGCTCTGTTGGGATGTTGGTGGCAGTTCTACAGTGTTCAGTAGTCAGAGGAAACCTGTGATCTAGATTTTTTTGTTACCACAACAATAAAGAAGACGAATCCACAATCTTGTGACCAATACCTTACTACAAGGGATATCAAAGCGTCTTGTTTAGAGGTGCTAGTGTATGGCACAAATTATTTGATGAAGAAGGACTTACTAATGTCCGTGGATGATCGATAACATCGATTGTTAAATTCTAGCCTATTTGATGATATGCTACCACTAAAGTATTAGTCATGTAATCAATATAATTATGCAACTTTTCCTAGATTTTCGGTCTGATCAAAGGTCCATTGTCTTATGGCTTCACCCCTGCCATTTTTTTTGCATGGCTAATTAGCCATTTTCTTCTTTGAAAAAGTAACAAAAAAGTGGTCAGTGTTGAAGCTAAACTTTGACATTTCGGTATAGAAGGTGAACTGATGGGACTTATGGATCTGTATTAATAAAAATTACCAGGGTATAATGTATGCATACTGAAATGTGATCGCTGGTGATACACAAAGTTAGTTCAAATGTCATTCGTTTGGCGAAGGATTGAAGTTGACGAAATAAAGAAATGACAACAAACCACAAAATCTGTGACTGTTTATAAAAACTATGATCAAGATTTGACCGGATAATAAGGCAAATATTCTTCGCTGAGTAAAAGGTTGACATTAGGTAAGAAAGCATTTGTATAAGTCGCATCGTGTTCGAAATCAAATAATTTTAACGTTTCTCACAGAAGTCTGGTCCTAGCTTCTTTAGGAAAAACAACGTTGGAATTATCTGATTTTAAACACGCTGTGACTTTCACAAATACAGTCTTTTTCTATGACTGGTGTTTCAAGTCATTCAGGTAAGCACTTAGTGACCGGTTAAAATTCCTGATTTCTTAGCACTCGATGGTTATTTTCCCTAATATCTAAATAACATATTGTACATTGCATTAGAAACATTCATTAAATGATACCATACCATCATTTGATATACCAAAAAAAAATACATAGGACCAACATTATAAAAAAACAACTTAGTGCTTTCATAGATTAGTTACTGAAGTTCATTACTTTTTGACAGACAAAGAAACTAACGTATGTGAATTATCTCCTGCTGAAATGCAGGGTTCATCTGTTATTTTCTATAGAGATCTTAATGAAAAAGCAAATGAGTGGCGAAAAAGAAATGTTTTTGATAGATGTCTAGTATACTTCTTTTCATAACAGGTTTCAATCAAGGAGAAGAATTAATTCTCTTAGATATCATGTTTATTGATACATTTAATCAAAAGGTGTTTGGAAACTTCAAGATGCTCACACTTTGCAGGATATTTAAACACTTGTCACATAATTTTTGAGTCGTAGACTTTAAAAGTAAGTTATATATGCCGTAATAGTCAACATGTGACTGAAATATGTACACGAATCAGTGGTAGGGACATAAACAATATGAATAAATTGTCTAAAGCGACTATAAAGGTATATTGGTAAAGTTTGCAATTCAGCAACTAGGCTGTGTGAAACTGTGATGAAATACGTGCAGTTTAAGAATAATTTACTTACGGAAACTATCAAACTTATTCTAAACAGTTATTATATTTTCCGACTGTGAGTTTGTTTAATTATAGCCATTTGATATTTCCCTGCTAACACTATTGTTTCACAAATTTTCCCTTCCTAAATGTTTCCCGTTAGTTGTCGGATGAACAAATAAATACATTTGGCAAGGCTATCCATGAAAACAGTAGCCGCTGTTCGTCGAAAACAAGTTCACCATTGAAAAAATCTAAAGGCCCATCACCATTAGCACGCATTTTGGTGCCAGACTTCAACAAATTACACCCTATGGTAGATCAAAAATCAAAAAGTACAGAGTCTACTTCAGTATTAGCTGTTCTTCCCCCATCAGCTCCGCTAAGAACAACGGCAGCCGCAAATGGTCTGAAAAAACCTGCCAAATCGTCTTTGCGAAAGTCTTATACGAAGCCTTCGAAATGAATAATATGTGCTGTATGGGTCTTTCTCATGTGGAATAGAATGAAATGAAGCTTAAACGCATAAACCTGTTTATCAGTAGTGATTTGTTTGGTTTGTTTTTTGATCAGACGTTTTCTGTTTATGCCCCTTTTAATTTAAAAGTGTACGAATCTATTGTCTTTAAACCTATTATTATTGTCCTATTAGGTGAGAACTATTCTTACCCTCATCCCCTCCTAGCGTTATCCAACACAAAACTGAGAATTATCAAGTGAAAATTCGACCAGATGACCTATTTTATCTACCAGATATGCTTGGTGGTTATTCCCTGTTATCTCTATACCTCTTTCAAACCAATTTTTAGTATCTAAACTACCATAACTTAACATTAGATTGAAGATTCCTATGGAGAAGCAGAAAAAAATTGTGCATATATAACTATTGACTGTGACTATACTTTGTGAAATATTTCATGGAGTTCAGCATTTTAGTTAATGAGCATCATCCAGTTTTTTGACTACGTAACAGAAAAATTATTTCATTAAATGTTTCAAAAGAATGTGATATTATGCCTGTATGATGTCTATCAGATTTTAATGATCAACAAATAATGAGCCTAATAAATACACCTTAAGATATAACAGAAATTAGGTCTTCTTCACCGCTAGATACTAAAGACTACTACTGAAAATATAGAAAATTCGAAGAATAAACTGAGTTTATGAGAAGCAAAAAAACGCAGAGAAGATTGAATAACCCTACAAATACTATATTCCTGACCTATAAATGAAATGAAACGAATTTCATTCAGAACGCAGTGAAATATATCAAAAACAGTTACCTAGGATCAAGTGTTGTATTATTCAGAGAAATATAATAAAATAGCTCTTAAGAGAAACATATATCATACTGCTGCTGAGCCAATAAGCATTTGTTTCAGGATAATCCGATTTTCCTCAATTTCTTCAAAAACAGCTCCTTCAGATACTTCAAAAGATACGGATTTACAGCAAGGAGCACTAGACTACTTTTGCATCAAATTTTTGGACTACTAAGCTGTGTGTCCGCGTGATCACATGAGGAATCAATCAGTGGTTTTCTGACTGAATTTGGTTTTGGATGAAACCCCTTGAGATCAATCGATTCCATACAAATCATGAAAGTGAATCACAATTCAATGTTCGCTGGTATCTTGCTTTTAGACGATCTTACCGAAGTCCTAGCAACATGCGATGACCAGTTCACCCAACTAAATTGAGTGTGAGTACAAAAACACGCTGATAACACCATACTATAGTCGTGCCATGTCACAAATTGATAGAAGTACTAAAAACGTATACCATTGGATTGCAATCCACCGGCTGAGTGGTAAAGTGTTTGCTGTGAAACTTGACAGTCTTGGGTTCCTCAGCTTTTCAATAAATCTCCATCTGAGGTTGTTGTCTGATGGAATTCTATTTAAATCACTCACTTCCTTAAAATTCTCTCAACTGCTAAAGGTGCAGAATGGATAAAAAATATACTGAAGTAACCCTTCTAGGTATCCTGTAAAGAATGATATGAAACATATATAATTATTTTCTGATCAGTGCGTCTGAAGAGCGTGTTATTGGGACTAATGCATCATTGGCATCATACTGCTTAAGGTAAGTAAATACAGAAAACTCAAAATACTCGCAAAAATGTTCACTTTGGACAAGTTTTCTTCATACCACTCACCCAGTTAATGAAATCGAATGCACAGATCTTTTTAACAGTCACAAGGAATAACGGATTATCATTACAGGGGTATTTTGATTATGAGGTTAATATTTCGCATAAACGGTAATTAAATTCAGATGTTACCTTTCTGTCAGTATAATCTGTCATGGAATCGCAACACTTGATCAAATTAGCGCGAAGGAATATTTGTCGCCAATCTATCACCAAGCTACTTTTTACTCCGCAATAGAACTGTCAACCTTGAATGAAATTCTAAGCATTTCTAATGTTCCTCACCAATATGCTGCTCAACAAATCTGAATGTACTATTCCTTTTGCTATCCAGGATACTACATTGTAGATTTCATCGGGTAGCGAAGAGTTGGGGGTAAAGCGGGAATATTTGTTGACTACTCTCAGCAATATTTAAGTTTACGGTAGTCTAGGTTAGTTATGACTGTGGCGTTCCTTACTTTAACTGACCTCTCAATAAAGAAGATATTTGAACAAAACAAATTATTTACAGAGGTAAAGGATGAAAAAAACTGAAGAAATGACGCTCCAGCAACCTGTTGCATTCTCCAGTTTAGATGAATATGGACGGAACTTAGTATTTTCTGACTACTTTTTCATGAAGATATGAAACTGAGCGCATGAAAGCAAACAGTAATGCTCAACATCTTAACGGAAAGAAAATAGATCAAGTTCAATCCGTGACCAGACGACCAAAATTTTAGTGCATACACCACTGACCTTCAATATTAATATCGAATCAAATACACGAAATTCCAGGTCCCTGAACAACACATCAACCTGAACTCCTTACGAAGACATTTCTTAAGATGAACAATGAATAGAGTGACTACAAATAGCCTTGTACAGACGTTAAATGAAAGTCGAAAAGCATGTACTCAATTAGCTGTAATTTATATGAAATATCAGGCTGGAGTTAAATGCTTTTATAAGATACGAGTTTGACAGAAGTTCCAAATAGGAATAAAAAGAAAGATGTATAAGTGATAGAATCTAAGGGTACCTCAATCGATGGGAATAAGTAAGTAAGCAAATCTTGAATGAAATGTTTTTTCTTAAAAATAATGAAAAGACTGAAGATGATATTTCCTTCACCAGTAAAGTTAAATCTTTTCAGATGATACTTCCGTCATTTTGATTTCTTCTGTCAAGATTTCCTTTTGTCTAATTTCGTTATGTACATAGTTATGAAGAAGATTAAAACTAGGTTAATGAAGTGATTAACACTAAGCAGTCCTAAAAGTAATTCATCAAAACATTAATACTCACTGCTAAGTAGTACAAATAAAAAATGAATCCATATTCATCAGAATGTACATTTCTACTTATGCTCTAGACAGGATACCCCGTTTTCCTTTTTGCTTCGAATAAATGACTGCAGCTTGTTACTGTGCTAAACATAAGCTTAAATAATTTTGATAAGGACACTGGGCTATGTTAGACGTGTAAGTAGCAGCCATCCAATGACTTCCACTAAATGAAATTTTTTGCTCCAATTAACTGGAATACAATATGCTTTTTGATATGGTTAAAGTTTGTATTTGTGGTAAATGATGAAAATCCCTTGGTGAATTATGTAGTGCTTCAATAAACATACGAATATCTTTACAAAATTGATTGGAAACCTTTAGAGTGAAAAACACTAGCACTAAATTCAGTATGAAATTAGTACTGATCATGTCCAAAAAGACGATGAAAGCTTCACGATTAAACAACCTGGCTCAGAGAACACAATACAGCCAAGACCATCCACTTCAGCTACAAATATTCTCCATTATTTCAAAAAGGAAATCCGCTATTTCGTTTCTGTCTTAATAGTCAGTTTGTAATTGTTTTCTTTAGACCAGTACTGGGTGATGATTCAAGGTGAGATGAAAATCTGGACCCCGGCTGGATTCGAACCAGCGACCACCAGATTTTCATCTCACCTTCAATCATTACCCAGTGCAAATACTAGTCTGCCACACTACGGCTATCTTAGATAGTCAAATCATAATCAATATTTCTTTAAAGTGATGGACAAAACCGATTATTTAAGGGAAAACGTGCATCGTCTAAAATTTATTTATCTACTTTACCATCTTGAGGAGTTAGTTTCTGCTAGTGCTCAAATAACTTTGAAACCGCCATATTTCTTCATCTGTCTTACTAAACAAAAAACACTCAAAGTCCAAGTTTAAAATGTCAATATGATCCAAACGTGAGCATCAGGAAACGGAGCTAAAGGTCAAATACCAAACGACAGCTGATATTCATAAATTCATTTTTAGCTCCTTCTAAATGTGTTAGCATGTTTCATTAAAGCTTTGAATAATAAGTTTCCTTTGTCGAATCAGTAATATAACAATGTAGTACTCAAGCTAGTACACCTTAAATAGGAATAAGAAATATCAAAACAAAGTGAGTTTAAATTGTGGAATAAGACAGGAAACCAATAATTGTTTGTAGTTAATCGCCTACTTTGTGAAAAAAATCTTTTAGCCTTATTTTCATGGGTTCCAAATATTTGGAGTTAGAATTATGTAGTACCTTATTTCCTTACTTCATACCTTTAGCAGGATGAAGAGGAATTTAAGGGAGGTGAAATGGGTCATCGAGTAGGCCATTCCAAGTTACAGTATTGCTTAGGTTCTTGTTGTAAATATACTTTCATTCACAGCTTTTGTATACTTCCACCGCCATCTTTTATATATCATTACTAGTGACTTCATAGAGCCTTCAGATTCCACGCTAAATAGTCATTCAGCTCTTTCGTAATGGAAAACGGGGTATTAGAACAAAAGCTGTACTTACAACGTCAGCGGCAACATCAACGTCGCCAATGTATCAAAATCAAAAGCTTCATGTACATTACAGTGGCTTTGGTATTTTCAGGCCTACCAAATTTAAAATCGTATTGATTTTCGTCGCTTTAACCAACCTGATGCTAACACGTTGGTTCGTGTTTTTTCCCGAAATTTTGAAGCGAAGGGATCGGTTGAAAAGGTCTTAAGCATATGCGAGTTCTTGTGAAGTTTTCTTCATTCTTTCTGCACAACATGACAATAACCAAAAAGCTGCGTATGCATTATCACAATAACAGTCTGATGATTGAAGGTTGAAGATCATGCTACATGCATTTCGTAGAAAAATTTCAAATGGTATACTTTTCTCGATATAACACTTTTTAACGGTTTTAGACGGTTACAATGAAGGACGCATTGCAAAAGTCACTATCATACCATGGTCTTAACGTATTCGCCGAAGTTGAACTCATTTGCTGAACATACTCAATATACGGTTCTGTTTAACTTCATATATGTTTTCTGTTGACAAAGTTATATTTTAGTTCAGATTCCCTGATCCCAAAAATAATCTGCACCTGTTAAATTTGATGTTAAAGTGATGTCTGTAGATGATGATTGCTCACCATCTGCAATTTATAAAGTTTGAGTATTAAACTGATTTTGAAGCCTTCTTAGTACTTTTTCTGTCTTTCTTACTCGCTATAATTATGACTTCAGTCACGGCTGAACGCTCAGAATGCCTTATTTATTTATGGTCCTTAGCAGGGTCAACCCCATCATTAAGTTACAAATTATCCTGCAGGAAGAGGATGAAAGTAACGAAACTATGCTTGGTTAAACATCCTAGTATCACGATGTTCAAACAACTCCTGAGGTTTCAACATAGCTTTCAACGACACCATTTACAACTCACTTCCTCAAAAACCTAACCTCCCAAATAATACTTTGCGCGGTAAGAGAATTTTATATTGGAAACTTACTCTTAGGGTGGTTTACGTCTTAAACCATTTGCTAAGTTAAAGACAAACGCCCAAAGATATTGATATATAATACCCTAAAATAATCATGTGATTTAAAGAATTTTAACATGTGGCCTTGATTAGATGTATTATACGTTGGCAATTACCTACGGATTTGTATCTTGTTCCGTACGATATACTTATTGTATGCGAGCTAATAGCATCATCTTAATGAATGAGCTCGATATAGGTACGAGTGGTCAGAATGCATTGGAAAATAACTAAATTTAGTGTCTGAAATAATGGTTATAATCTACAGAAATTAGTTTCAAGGCTGAGTACTTCATTTTCATCAGATAGCATTTGAGATCCTCTATGTACACAGGGACCATAACAAAAGCCAGATGGTCACATAAAACTGTTCCGAAAGCCTTGGTGATTGTTAAAACTTGTCAAGACATTGATTTGTTTAGCTTACCTGTACCAGATTTTCAGTGATTGAAGTAATCTGAAATTGTAAGTCGTGAATAATTTTAGCCACTGATCCTGGGGCTTTTATCATTTCAGTGCTCTGTATGTATGGGTTGTAATGAACATCAAATTATCTTTGAATAGTCCGTGCAAAGTCTCTGGAAAACAGTAGCGAAGAAAACTATAGAATTCCTCATGAGGTTAGCATACTATAAGTTTCTTCTAGTTAACATAAGAAAATGTTTGACTACTTAATAATCTTAAGTAGTATATTTTCAAAACAGTTGGCTTTGGGAGGCAAAATAATATAAGGTGACCTATTAGAAAAGTTGAATACATTCGTGCAATGCATTTCAAATAAATCGACTGCCCACATAGTCTCAGCGAATTTCCTAAGAATTCGCATGTGACTGGTCTCAAGAAGATGTCCACTGGGCCCGGTGGTCACGCAGTGACTGGGAATCCTCAACCTCCACCACAACTCTACCATCACTCAAGCTCCCTCAGATCACTGTCTCCCATGCATACCCTTAATTTCTAATCTTCCTTCACGTCTCTCTATCAACAATCCTATATCATCTTTTATTTTGTTCTAGCCTTTGATAACGATCTGAGTTGAAGGAACTGTTTCACTGGTCTCTTGAAGCTGCCCTGGAAACCACACATTCAAGCTTTCAATGTCCGCAACATTCTCAATTCAGCCAGCGAACTTCACTAGCCAGAACTCTAGCATCTGGAGCCGTATACATGTGCTGTTTTTGCGGGATATTCGAATTTGGTTATCCACTTAGCCCCACACGACCAATATGGTGGACATACTAAAATCACCTTTCAAGTTTCATGAAGATTTGACGGCCAGTTCTCACTGTTTTGGGGCAGTAGGTGTACCATTAAGTCCGAATGTACAAAACGAAATGCTCGACTTCATTTATTTTTGACAGTCGGCTTTAGGGTGTTTACGTGAACGGCACAATGAGGACTAAAAGGGGTGGTTGTCTCTTTGTAATTCCTGCTTCCGCACCCACTGACTACAGTTTGAATGAAGCAAAGGGTGATTTCTTCTAGAAACATCCAAGCCTCCTACCGAAATTCAAACGTCCAATCAAAAAGATTCGGGTGTTTGACCGTTATCGCCTTCAAGTGGTGTGTCATGGTTGTACTGCAATAACAACGTAGAATTCACGTGTAGAATTTTAGGTAGAAGAGGTAAGGCAGTTGAGGAGCTTGTAAATCTTAAATGATTCAAATGATTGGGCTGTGTTACGCATTCTCAACAACCCTCTGCTTCATCGAATAATCTTAGATACAGTAGGTCTTGGTATGAAAAATATGAAAGGTATCAAGTAAAATGCACCTTATGCGATGAATAAAAGGCATCAGATGTGACCATTGTCCTAAGTCATGTAAGGAAATGTAGACTTCTAGGTTGAGGTTCCATACTACAACAAAAACCAGTATTTAGAGAATCTAGGTGATATCCCTTGTGATCGATCTGATTAGTGCAGATGCATATGCACATTATCTTTATCTGAATCACTATACTGAATTTTACTATTTTCTTTCCCCCCTTGTTGTATTATCACTATATTCTACCACTTCTGACTACTTTCTTTTTTATCTCTTCATCTTTACGGATTCTTGCTCGATGTTCTGATACACCTGGCAACTTGAACCACTGTACGGAAATGCCACGCCTTGAGTGGATAATGGCTGTCTGAACAAATTTTGTAGACAGTTTTAAGTGTATTGAATGCAACCTTGTAACCTGTCTCAGTGACATATCCTGCTCAACAAGGAGTTGGGTATCAAATTCCAAGTTTGTTTGGGTTTTTATTGTACTTTTGATAACTGATATTTATTTTATCATGTGCTGTGTAAGTCTTAAAAGGATAGATCAATATGTCTTCTTTATGTTTATGTGAACAAATACGGACAAACTGATGTAACTGGCGTACAATGAGGTAGTTCCATCGTCGAATTTCTGAGCACCACCCATCATGGTTGAACAAGGGACAAATTAGAACTATAAAGAGCTCCATACTTGCACACTTAGTTGACACAGGACATCAAGTGGTTACTGGAAAAGCCTTCAAAATTATCCATCAGATTCCAATTAATTTACCTCATGGATTACGCACTCGGTTACTTCACATAGTAGAGGCGATTGCAATCCACCTTTACAAACCTAGCCTTTGTATTTAAAAGAATTTTTTTCGACCCTTTTCATTATCGTGGCCGTCAACATGATGTAACTTCTAGGTTTATTTTGTGCACCTCTTCCCCTTCTTGTTTCTATCAATATTCATATTTCCTATTTTAGTAACTCTCTTGACTATCTACATCATTATTTCCCAAACACCACGTGATTGGTAATTGATTAAATTGTAAACCCATATATTAGTGTAGAGCCCAAGATGAAAAGAAATATATTTCTTCTCCCAATCAGTCTTTTATTTGGAAGACAGTTTGCAGTTTTTTACAGTGCTTTTCTCTTGATACAACTTAAGGATGGTATTTTGGATATAATTACATGAAGTGGATAAGCTGCCTAGAAACAAAACAGAAACATGCGTATTTTCAAAGATTAGCGCTACAGCTTAAGATTTTGATTGTTAAGTTAGTCATGCAGATAAACACATTTTCCAGTACACAGGCTCTTACAGCATGATTGCTATTAATTGAAATACATATCACGTGACCGTTTTACTAAGCAAGGAAACAATGTAGTTGGAGAGATTGGATAAAAATGGCTTACAGTATTTTGACATTTTTCTGAGTAACTTTATTCAAGAAAACCAATGAAACTCTAGCAAATTTATTGAACTTACCTTCTAAAACAGTTACCTCATTTGATCTGTTGAAAGTTCAAGTGAAGAGGTCTCAAAATATTCATTTTGAAAGGTAGTAACTAAGCATTCTTCGTTCATAACTTTCTCCGTACAAAAGGTTTGACCACAGCTTTATCACTTAAAGCATACTGCATTAAGACAGAGAAAACATGCGTTATCCGATTTTAGGTTAAAAATAAACAGGTCTAAAGATTTCACAGTTCATAAAACTAATTGAAGTACAATACAAATAATGCTCTGAACTGGCTTTATTACTTTACGCACAAAACTAAGGATTTTATCCGAAACGTGACCTTGGTTGTCTAGCAACTATGATTTTATTACAACTCACAATCTGATGGAATTGTTGTTAGAAGACGAACTAATATCAGAAATGTTTGCTTCGACAGGACAGTGCAGCAGTTCATTTTGTTACTTCATGACACTTTGTGTTGAAGATTCTAATTTATGATCCTGGCTAGGTGGGTACTTTCCCACAGAAACCTTGTTGACACCACAAATAAGCAGCAGGAAAACTAATTAACAATGACAATGCTAAAGTAAACCATTCAGTTTACTAATTAGCCCCAGCAATTACAAAACCTTATCATTCCATTTATCCAGCCATGTACCAATTAATCTTCAATGCAATTTCGTTATGAAACAGGAATATAATAAGTGGTTATTTTCATTCCAGTCTAACGTATCGCTTTACTATATCAACGTAGACCGTCAGTGTTCAATAACTATCTAGAAATGTTAACCGGGATATGAAATGAAAAAATTTACTTACCTGTAGTTCAGCTACTGATGAAAGTAAACCAGCACCATAAGCTTTGAGTTGATCATCTTGCCGACATAGACCAAATTCAACAGCGAGAAAGTAACACTGTAAGATAATTTAACAAACAGAGAAACAATACTTTTGATCAGCCAATAAAATTTGTGGATCTTCCATAAGTTTTATGAACTATAAAGGTTTAATTAGATGATTTACTACCATGTATACAAAATCAGAAAATAAAAGCTTACTTAGACATTGATTACGTCATGTCATAGTCTCTAGCTGATATTGTCAACTGGTGCTGTATTCTTCGCAGTTATCATTTAGGCCTTCTAGATCTAGCTTTAACTCTTGTTAGCCAATGCTAGAAGTCTTCAAAAGGATTCACTTATCCGAAACTAATAACTGTACATCTAAGTTAGATGAATCTGCCTTTCGGTAAGTGATATTGCCTGCACTGAGAACTGAACCAAGCACTAATAGCTTCAAATGATGGGTGGTTATTCACTAAGCTAAAGAGTCAAGATCTACCGTTTGAGTAACCAGTGTTCCTATGCCTATTAGTTTTCTCTCATCGACTGTACGGCGCTGGTCAACAACTGTTGTCATATGGCATGCTGCATGGATG